CCGTGTGCCCATGATCCTTTGAGCTGTTTCAACATCCTCTGCAGAGCAGCAGCTGTACCAGGATGTAATGCCCTGTAGATGGAGTCTATAGCGTACATATAAAAACTGCTCAGGACTGTCTCATGGTTGCCAGAGAAGTGAAGTCATTGGTGGGCTTCAATGGCAGACTTTAAGTACTCTATCTATCAGAGGGTAGAAAGGAGAAGGGCTCTCCACTGCTAGTATCATGGTCGTATTGATTTTTAATGAATCATTCATTGCATTTTATTATATTAATGGCACCAGGGTTGTCTGTTTAGATGAAAGGTGAAATTTGAGTCTTATTTAGTGGGTTGATTCATTCCTGAGTGGGAGCGACTACCCTACATCTTGGAACAGGTACAAGGTACAATTACATCATATAGCTGAATAACTCAAACACAAGTGAGTTGAAACATACACAAACAGAGCCACTGAATCATACCTCATTTTATTTTCCAAACACGTACTGTAATATTATAAGACGTGGTTAATAATAGGTGTAAAATCAGGCTCCACTTATCGCTTCCAAACACATTTTTATTTTTTATAATGCTGCTGAAAACAACAGCATAGATAAGCCTAAGGAGGTTTGCCTGTCTTAGTTGGAAATACATTAACCCAGCTTTGAGACCAGCTTAATCTAAAGTAGTTTATCTGGTTGACAAGACGATTTCCTGAAAAAGTGCCCAAAATCCTGAATAAAATTTGCCAACAGACAAGCTTGACCAGACTTAAAGGAATAGTTCTCTAAAAATTAATTTTTGTCATCATGTACTCACCCTCTTGTTGTTCCAAATGTGAATGACTTTCTTTAGTGCAACATAGCAGGTATTTTTTAGAAGGTTGGTACCAAACCATTGGTGACCATTTTTACGGCTCAAAGTCATAACATAAAAGGACACTTCACAAGATGGGTTTCAATAGAGAAAATATATGTTTATTTTAAGGTTAAACAAATAATGTCTATAGGGGTCAAAATATAAGGCAATAATAGTAAATATCAATACAACATCAAATCAATAAACTGTTGGAAATGAGGTTTGTACAGTTGTGGAAATCATATGGGAAGACAAACTCAAGAACCCACTCTTCAAATAAAGACAAAACAAAAATGAGAGAAAACTAGACAAAATCCAGAAGCTCCTGGAACAAAGGCCACAGGCAGGAGCTTAGCAAGACATTACACACGAGACAGTGTGTCAGCTAAAACTTTCTCTTTTCCTCTGTGACAAATGTGACAAATTTGTAGAAAAAAATGACTGCAGAAACTAACTCCATCCCATCAAGCGCTGGTTGGTAGCACAACTCCACTGTAAAAAGGCTAAAAGATTGTGAACAGTCATCACTTGATGGAAATGGAAAAAGGTTTGCAGTAGTTAACCCAGCTGGCTTTGTATATTTTGGCTGGAGCTGGAACTGCAGGTTGGAACTGAACTAGATCCTGCCATAGCCAACTTACTTTGACATGGATAGTAGTTTCTTTCTAGGTCATGGTTTCCAAATAACCCTTTATAGGTTAAAGCAAATTCACCAGCCATAATTGCTGTGTCACACAATTTGCAAACCTTCTGTTCATTCAAGCAAGTAACTAGACCTTCTGGGATACAATTCCTAAACTCCTCTCAAAGAACCAAGTCCCTAAACTGTTCTTTAGTCTCAACCTGCCTAGAAGCACACCACCTATAAAATATTTTCTATTTTTCCTGAGAAAACTCTACAAACGTCTACTTTTCAGTTTTCACTTTTAAAGCCATTTCGGAAATGTTGACGATATGCTTCGGGCACTAACTCGTAAGCATCATATACAGTACTCATGTTCTAAACTAAGTGCTGAATAAACCTCTTGAGCCTTACCCATACAGTAAGCGCACATTGTAAAAGAAGCGTCCAAACTTCTTTTTGGGCACTTCAGCGTAGTAGCATTAGCAACTCTCTAAAAGTGGAAGTACTTCTCTACCTCTTTTTCAGAAAAAGGAGGAACCATTCTAATATGCTTCCCAATATCAAAAACTTGCTCTACCCTTTGAGAAGACTGGGAAGGAACCACAAAACGTGAAACAGTCGGTTGACCCTCAGGACTCCTACCTGCCAATTCTAACTCAATTTTTTAAGAACAAAAGTACACTTGCGTTCCCTTTCCTGTCCCTCCAATTTCCTCAAAAAGCTTAATTTTTGAAAATAAAAAAAATGTACCTTTTCAGAAAAATGTATCTGACTGACCACTGAATGACAGACACTGGTAAATCGCTTGTAGAAACTAAGATCAGAAAACGGAGAAACCATTTTACATTATTTTTTGGGAAAGATCCACTACACCTCAGCAGCATGTTGTTCATGCATTTTTCAGGAGATACTGATGAGTTGAAAAGCAACTGAAGAAAGCATCATGTCATCCCACCTGATGTGCTACAGATACTTTTGGTCTTTGCTGCCAGTTCTGTGATCATTTAGCCAAGGAAATGAATTTATGTTGGTCAATTCAATTCAATTTCAATTTACTTCTATATTGTCCAAAGCCAAATGGTCAAACCTCTTTATTCTTTGACTATCCCTCAATTCAAATCTTTTTGAATTTGAGTTGGAAGAAAATCTACCAGCTGTTCTTGTATCTAGTTTGATTGTCAAAGCAAAATAGAATCTTTTCAGCAACATCTAGAGGCAACTGTATTATATTTGCTTTTAAAGTATGAAATGGGGCCAGCTTCATTCTGCAAGAGAAGAGCTGATTTTTTTTTGGAGGAAATATACACAGGCAATAGAGAAAAACACAGGCGCTCACAGAATCGTCAGTGCTGAGGCACTTTTGCTTTGTAACCCAAACAGCCTTTCATCAATTCCCTCTATGACGATACTTTGTATCACCTGAGAGATGTCTGTGGTGAGGCCACAACAAATGTGCTTGGTGTGTGTTGCTGCTTGTTTGATCGCAGTCCCAAAAGGCTCACGGTTTCATTCAAAGAGACACTCGTTTGCCTTTTTCCTCAAGTCTAAATCTAATTCAAAAGACTATTGTTTCTTGTGAAAGCACATAGACTTAGCAAACTAAAATCGTGTTTTATGATAAATTAACTACAGTGTACAGATTCAACATAGATTCGTCTGGTCAGAGGTTGGTCTGTGGAAACCAGACTAGTGTTTAACATTAAGTTCTGTTTTGAACAGAGAGTGACGACCTAACTGTGTAACTCTTTGCACTCTGGAGACATTATTTCTGCATTGCACAGGACTGACCGCTCTCTTTTCTGCCTGCTCATCTTTTATGTAATGCCAAAAACAGAAATGACATCTCATGACACATCATGATCTCTCTATTTAAAAGCCTATCCTGCCACCTCATTAGTGATGCTGTCATGTATGTAAGTAATAATTATTTAGTTTCAAAATATGTTTACGTAAAACACAGCATTACAACACAACATAACTGTAACTTATAACTGTAACTTTACCACATAGATATTATTAAATGAATTTTGACTGCTCCAAAATTGCCATTGGTTATATATAATATGTATGAAATAAAACGTATTTATTTATAATTATACAGACAATAAACAACGCATTCTCACCCCAAGGCGTCACCTTTGACCATGCTTCAATATTTGACGTTTTAGGCGCCCTTTAGCGTCACTTACATGACGCGATCCTACGGCGTCATCTAACTGACGCTAAAGGAAAGCGTCAGTTAGAGGACGCGGTTAGGTTTAGGTGTGGGGTGGGGGTAGGGTACACGCGATCCTAGGGCGTCATCTAACTGACGCTAAAGGGCGCCTAAAGCGTCAGATATTGAAGCATGTCCAAATGCTTCCCAAGGCGTCAGTTAGGTGACGCCTTGGGAGTGAGAATGGGCTGCAATAAAATGTTATATAATTTTTCTGAACAAATACAATCCTAATTTAAAGGTTATTTTCAGCATGTTTTTTTTCAGCCAAGCCTTTACAACATCAATGTTTTTGAAGTTTAAATGTATGCAAATGTATCGTAATGACTTTGTAATGATTTTTATTTTATGTTAGTGATACAAATATAAAATCAAAATCGGTGAACATCCAATATTTATTGATAAACACACTCACAATCTTTTGTGCTCAGAAGTTATTCAATTTCTTCCACTGTGCGTTTACAGAATTTCAGAAATATTTGTCATAAAATGAGCCTTGCTATTTTGGTCTGAGCTACATTCTTTGCAGCCTGCAATTCTTTCTAAAAGTACATAAAGGGCTATTCACCAGTGAAGGTGAACGCCAATGTGATTGACAGCTCCTTTATACTTCACAAGAGAGAGAGAAAGGGTAGCTTTTCTGCAGACAGGAAAGCCCAGACCCAGAAACAAATCAAGAAGTAAGTTGCTGCTCAGTTTTGGATCAATAATATCTAAAGGGAAAAGCCCACTGGGAGGCTCTTAAGAGGAAATAGCCCAGAGGAAGCAGGTCATAAAAAAGACTTTGTGCAATAGAGAAAAGTGTGTTCTAATAAAAGTCATGCATGCCACCATTGCAGCCTTTGAATTAGTTAAAAGGGAAAGACAATTTCTAATGAACTTATATACAATTGATTGGTTATAATGTGATGCACTAATCGGTGGTCTTAATATAATATAATTTGCATTTGTGAGTACCATTCTAAATGTGTCCCAAGTGTAAAGGGGAATGAAATTTTTCGATTATTGTGTGAGAAGTAATCACCAGGTGAGTTGGAGAATCAACTCCAGAGAATTTCCCATGGTCGTTTAACTGTAATTTAAAACTGCCGCTCACCAGCGAAGTGATGTGTACTGAGAAGTCAAACTCTCTCTATCTCTCATTTGGCCTGCTATTCACTCAAGCAGACATGTTCTCAAGTCCAAGTCAAGTCTGCGATTTTTATATTTTAAAATTAATAAATGTGTCTTTTACATTTAATATGTTTGAATAAGATTAAAGTCCCCATGAAATAAAAATTGATTTATATGCGTACGTACATAATTATTTTTAAAAAATATGTGCCCTTGTAATCTTTAATCAAGGTCTCTTTTTTGTAGACCTACAGATGTTGTCTCAAATTTTGAGTTCAAGTCAAGTCCCAAGTCATTTGCTCAGTTTCATCTCTGTATTCAGGTCTGGCATTATAACTTTTTTCGATGCAACTCTTCAAACCTAGCCTTACTTTCAGAAGTAGGGTAAGTCCAACAGTTTGGATAAAGTTTGAAGATTGTTTTTTGCTACGCCATGAGTGGTTGGTTTGTCTTTGTGTCTCTGCTAGTCTTGCTCTGTCTCTCCCAGCCTTGACGGATACGGGTGACCTTGTGGTCCACACATGGCATGATCAGGATTAACTTCAGGATCAGAACCACACAGGGGACCACCAGAGACAACATGTACGCTGGAGGCATCCACCACCTATATGATGAAGTTTTCAGAAATTTATCCCAGCCATACAGGAATGTGTGAAAGGTGCAGAGCAGCAGGGTCATGTAGCCCAGTTTAGACTGTGAAGGAAAGAAGGAAAAATTATTTTAACAAACATCATTGTCGGTTATTAGTAAAATCTTCTCCAGTGACACTTAAATGTATGCATTTCCACAGACTGTGGATGCAATACCTGCACAAAACTGAACTCCCTCCAGTTTAGGGAGTTGCTGACAGATGGAAGGGATGTAATTCCTAATAGGACAAACAGCCCAAATCCAAGAATTCCCATGGAATAGTAGGAGTCATGACGCCAGGCTGCTGTGTTGTCAAACTCATAGGTTTTATTATCTTTTATCTGCAAAACAGCATTGAGAAAGTTTATATTTTTAATCACTTTAATTGTTCTATGATCTTTGTTTGTATTTATTGATGTTTCATCTGTAGAGATGTACACATTTTTATACAAATTTCGCAATGCATTTTACTTTCGTAATGTGATATTTTAGTGCAACATTTGTAATTAAGTAGGCTAACTAAATAAATTAAGCACATTGTTTTCACAAAAATAGCCTACCTGGAATGTGCATTTAAGGGAGAGTTCACATAAAAATGAAAATTCTGTCACTCTCATGTCTGTCCAAACCCGTAAGACTTTTGTTTATTTTCTCAACACAAATGAAGATCTTTTTGATGAAATTTGAAATCTGTTCATCATATGAAGTCATTGTGTCTCTTAAGAAAATTTGGACTAAACCACTAAATTCATATTAGTTTTACAATCTCTTTATGAACTTTTTGAAGCGTCAAAGTGGTAGTTGCGTAGCTGTCAAAGGTGGGACAGAAAGCTCTCAGATTTCATCAAAAAGATCTTAAAGAGCACCTATCATGGATTTTTGAAAATGACTGTTCGGAATATAGCTCTAAGGGAATGAAAACATCCTGCAAAGATTTATATCTGAAAGTGCACCGTATATAAAGTTATTGTCTTTTAAAAGTGAGAGTTGACTCTGAGTCTATGAAATGAATTGTTTTTGAAACGAGTCATTAGCTGTTAGGTCGTGACGTAGATACAAAACATTAGCTCATTGGCCGCTCCCAACAACTGCGTGCGCAGACGGGAGTGTTTCTTGAAGTCTAGAACACATTCAAAAACTTCAGCTGAATAGCGTCATGTCGAGAAGACGCCGTGTTCTACATTGCAAAGACAGTTCAGCCACTTGTTTTCATTGCCCAGGGACGAGCATGTGAAGAATCGGTGGTCAGAGTTCATATTTGCAACGATACCACAACAGTATAGCCCGAACCTTGTGTTCTCATCATTTTAATGGCGAATCACTCAAAGACATAAATGAATTCAAATGTGGATTCGCAAGCCGGTTGTTCCCGAAGGAGGGCTCACTATCCAGCGTATATAGATCAGGTTCGTCCTCCTCCGAATCACAATCTGTAAGTAATATTAATAATTATGTTTTCTGTAGCATGCACAATATAGTTATATTGTGTTGTGTGTGTTGTGTACACTCCACGCAGCTTCTAAGCGGGATAAAGTTAGTTTTGTTTTTGATATTCACCAGACATTCTTTGAAAAATGGCAATTACCTCCTAAACGACTTAGCCAAATATGACTTCGCTCTATATAAGCACTGCCCCTCAAAAGCCCCCGCAATGTGAGTTTCGCCGGGAAAGCTTGCTCTTGACGGAGACGCGAGTAAGGGACCGTGTGGAAAGTGCACTTTTTCTGACACATTTGTTCAAACACTTTATACCATTTTCAACACTTGACAAGCTATAATCCTGGTTATGGGCGTTCCGTTGCCGATAATCTCTGCCTACGGTTTACCAATAACAACTGACTCTGACTGGGTCATTTGACCAATCGCCGCAGATTCGTGTCATGAATCGTCGAACGAATCATTTGGGAGTCGTTGAGCAAATCAGGTAAAAATAAATGTGTATTATATAAGACAAATAAAGTGTTTTTAGCCTTGCATGCACGTTAAACTGTTTTTGGGAACTCCCAAAACAAAAATAGGAACATTTCAAATGCTATGATAGATAGGGGCTCTTTAATTTGTGTTCCGTAGTAGATGAACAAAAGTTTTAGAACGAATTGAGGATGAGTAATTAATGACAGATTTTCTTTTTTGGGTGAACTAACATTTCACAGCAACTCATACTGTAACATTCGTTTGTTTGTTGTGTCAAGTTGCTTTTTTTTTTTTTTTTTTTTAGTTACAAACCTGTTTACCCGGAGAAAAACTCGATGAAGTGTTACATCCTGTCATAGCATTTTTGGTACATAACGGCAACCGTAGAGCAAAATTCGCTTGAATGCAAAATACTATTTAACCACTAGATGGGGGTAATTCCTACACAGAGTCAATTAAATAGGGTTAATATACATTTCATGTTGATTTTAAACACCTGTTTGGTGATAAATAATAACTAGATAATAATTAGAATAAGTGAGCATTAGATTTAAAAGTACTCAACTTACCAATGATATTATGTAGACATTTATCCTGTAGCGCACATAGTATCTGATGGGAATAACTAAAGTGTAAAGAACATGAAGAAAACCGAAGGCCAGCGCTAACAGGCCCAGTTGCTTCCTGCAAAGCATCCAGCGATCCAACCAATCAGGGAAGCGACGGTACTTAGTGCCGTTATAAAGCTGCAGGAATCCAGCCAATGCGCCCGGCAGATAACACAGGGACAGCATCACCAGGGAGACAATGGGAAAGACCTTGTTGGCCAGCGAGACCATAATGCGGAAAGCGATGTCTTTACCATTGGTAACACGCTCATAGATAACATCTCTTGTGAGCGCGTAGAAGAATATGAAAGCTGTTAAACAAATGGCGATGCGGAAAGGAAGTCTCCAGAGAGGGAAGAGTTGCAATGGCAAGTCTTCTAGCTCAGCAGCTGCTCTGATGGAGCCTCTGTCCAAGACAGTGAAACCAAGACCTTGAGCAATGTCCACCACTTGCTGTTTAGCATCAGCCCGGTCACCACAGATAAGTACCTAATCAAACGAAGAAAGAAAAACAGTCCACCAATATATAAAAAGTTACATGTAATAGAAAACAGAATTAATTTATATAAAATTTTGTAAATGTAACATTCTGTATGATAACATTAGTTAATAAATTAGCTAACATGAAATAACAATAAACAAGACATAATTTTACATCATTTAATGTTAATTTGTAAATACACAAATGAACTTTGACTCTCTGTCATCGTCTGGTATCTAGGTAAAATATTGTTATTTTTTGCATACATTTTTACGATTTCAAGTTCAAATTGACATTGATGTATTATGAATTAACAATGAACAATAGTAGCCTATTTTTATTCATTACAAACTGCAACCAGTATAAATAAAATAAAAAGTTGTATGCATTAAATAATGTTACTGAATAGAACCATATTGTAAAGTGCTACCGCAAAAACTACTCATGTGACACATTATCTTAAAGTGGTTTGATTGTTTTTGACTTATTCTAACAAGCAAGCTGCTATAATGTTGACCTACAAAACCCTTGAAACAAAATGCAACTTTAATAGTTTTAGACAGCAGTGAAATATCCTCTGGGAATTAAATTTAGTTCACAGCAATGTGCAGTCTCAGCCTGAAAAATACAATATGTTGTCACAGTTGGCCTTCAGAAAATAGAACAAGAAATTATAATCAAAACGAGAAATAATAACTGCCTGGCCGAGTGTGACTATTCATTTTTTTATTGAGAAACACACAAACAGGTGTCAAAGAACATACGCACTAACATAGCGATAATAATAGTTTGCCAGAGCTCAGATTCCATCTGGCCAGTTTCTCATCCACCACCTGCTGATGTGAATATGACTTTCCTACAAAAAAGACACTGCTTTTCTATCAGGAAGAAGCTTCCCTCATTTCATGAACTGTGAACAGCTCTAATGCCATGGACACAGACATTTATACATGCATTAGTTTCTCTTTTGTACTGTGTACAGAGTTAAATGCTGTGCTTTTTTGTTTTATGATATGTGTCATTTATCTGCCTTAGAGCTGAGATGGAGCAGAAGAAAAATGAAGGGCAGCTGTACGCATTTGTCATGTCTGATTTGTGTTTTTGTTCATATCATAACAAAAGCTCACCCAGGCCTTTGTGTCTCCATTATGGCTGTTTTGTAAGACAGTCTGTTTAGCTTGATTCATTAAATTTGAAACAACTCTGTTTAAAACAGCTTTTCTGTGCTTTGCCCCTTTGTTGCTTAAATGATTAACAACATTTAGCAAAATTTGCATGATAATTTGCTAGCTATGTGCTTTCTATGTCTTAATCATCATTTTTCTCTCACTAACTTTACAACTCTTTAATTGCTTTGAACAAAATTAGTTTATTTTGTGCATGTCTTTACCCATTTACACTTATTTATGTATTTTACCTTACTGGGTTACACTTAATTTTGATGGTCCCTTTAGACATTATTGACTAAGTAATGTTGCTATTAGTAACAATAAGTTACTATAACTTTGCAAGTACGTGTTGATGTATTCTCCAAAACCCAAACAGTCTACTAATACTCAATAGTCAGAATGTCTGTTGGGGGGAACATCACAATAAAGTGTTTGCAGATAGACCAATACTCTAATGAGAGTTAGTTGGGATGTGGGTGCAACTGAATAAAAAAAGACCTTCAAAATAAAGTGTTCCCACTTATTGTTAGTATTTCGTCCACCTGACTGGATAGACAGTGTTTCTGTTTGTATGTTTTACCTGTCTGTTGGCATCTAGTCCCCCAGACTGCAGTGCCCACGCAGATATAGTGTTGAAGGCTTTGACTACCGTCACCCCTGGAACCAGCCTGCTCAGGTATTCTGCATTGGATTCTGGGTAGAGACCCCTCCTGAGATTATTGCTGACATCTATCAGCACCTTTCCCTCGAGATCTGAAGCCAGGGAGCTCAAAAATCCATAGTGCTCCCTCTGCACAGCCACAAAAATCACATGTGCTTCACTAGCAGCTTCTGCATGAGCCATTACCTTTGACCCCTTAGGCAGCAACAGAGAGTTTTTAGGGTCCCGGGATCCATATACAACGTTGTACCCTGACTGGAGCAAACGGAGCCCCAACGAGCGTCCGAAATCACCCGTTCCAAAGATGCATACTGTCTCCTGTTTATGCATCTTTCCATGCAGCTCTGCCATTGCGACCGAGTCTGAAATCATTTCTAAAATTTAAGAGAAGAAACCATAAACCATAATGGAAGTTAAGTTCTATTAAATGCTAAAATAATGGCTAGTACAAAGTGCACTTAAAAACACCAATTACACATTTCAGATTTGGTACGAGTGCTGCTGTGGCTAAAGATTGTATTTCTGCTTGAGTGATTTATATATTAGTTTTCTTTGGGGCGATAATGGTGTAATCAAATTAAATAATGGTCTGCAATACATTTGGATGCACCAGTTAATTTATTTTGCTCCTTTAAAGGTACATAGTTTGATATATTGCGAAAAGACACAGTTTACAACCTAAGGGCAAATAAACTAAAACCTAAAAATAAAAACATGATTTATAAAAAAATATTAAGCTGCCTTTTAAAATTATTTTTAAAAAGAATCAACAAATACTTACGGATAAAGATTAAATGAATTTATTTCTCCGAATTTGTGCACCAGTCCCTAGAAAATCCACAGATATCCTCTTGTAGAATACGACCCTGACAGTTGAAATTACTGACTAACAATTTGATTTTATTGCAGAATTTCGGAATTCTCTGAGCCAATAACTGTCGTTATATCGCCAAAATCCGTTTAGCAATGTAGTGTGATCGTCAAAACCAGCTTTTACTTTCCTTTTCTTCTCCTGCAATTTTTCTTGTGTCCACAGGCATTTCTTCACAGCTCTGAGGCTTGTCTTTGCCTGTATGGGTCTGTTTATAAGCACGTGTGTGTGTGAGGCACGTATTCATGAGCCTCTGACCTGCCCACAGCTCAGTGGGTGTTTAGATTTGGAAAAAGAGAGGGAGGTTGTTTTGGCAATGGATAAAGTCCAATGTGGAAATTCCAGAGGAAACTCCCCCCTCTCTCTCTCTGTGTGTCTGTCTCTGTCTGTCGAAAGGCACATAATGTTTTCTTTACCTAATGTGTGTTTTGAGGCCAAGGCCTGCCTGGAAGTACAGTAAGTTGCGCAACAGTGGAATAACTGCGGCGGTCTGCCCAAGTATCTCAACGCTTCAGAAACTTTGTTCTCTTATGAGAGGTTCTCTCGTATTGTGTAAGTTTGCTTAAGCTACGAAAAGATTAATCTTTTTTATGAGATATTGTAGCCAGCAGGCTGTCTAGCGTGCTCATTGGCTGCCCTGCAGCAACTGCAGCAGCCTACCACTGAGCCCGGCGTTATGTCACGTCCAAAAAGGGTGGTCGCACCCTCATCGCGTCTTAGCCCGCCAGAATAGGTGTGGCTTAGCATATTGGCGAGTCAGGCTTTTACAGCTGTTATTTTCTCGTGTATATATGCTTTATGACGTTATTTTCGATTTGATCAAGAACGCAAACTAATGCCAACGCTGTTTGAGTATAACAGTAGTAGTCAGTCAGTTGCTATTGTTGCCAGTCAGATGCTATTGTGTAAAACAAACGTGTATAAAGTTAAAAAAAATGTCTCTTTTCATTTGCATTTGCATTTTTCTCTTTGCATTGCGCAGTCGCTTGTGTATGAAATACAAAAATCCCCAAGGTAAAACCGTGCATCATCCTAAATAGACTTTTTAAAAATTTTAAACAACTGGCTTTTCTGCATGATCTGTATTGAATTCAGCAGGGTGTCTTTGTTTTCGTGTGCTGAAATGGCTTGGTATGTTTTTTTCATTCAAATTTCAGCTCCATTGTAAATAAATATGTACCATTTAAAAAGTTTTGGATCAGTGGTAAAGACAACCATTGGTTCTCAGACAGACAGTGGTCGAGTTGCAACCGAATTGGGAAGAACTGCTTTCTCTTATTTAGCACCTTGGGGGTGGGATAATCTAAAGAGCTAAGGTTAGAAACCCTTATGTCCATTAATGAATTTAAATCTACCGTAAAGAGTGTTGTGATGGAGATATGTTCTTGTTTTTCTTCTCATTGTGTTCTTTTTGTACTTCTTTTTTCATGAAAATGTAATTTGGTGTTTGTTATGTATGTATTTGTTGTGATTTGGCTGCTATGGGCTCTATGCACGGCGGTATTTCCGGTGAAGGATTAAGGATGCTCGATAACTTCCGCCCATCGTTGAGTCCAATGCAATACCGAGAATTAATATTGAATTTTATTCTCCATGGTTATACTAAAGAAACGTTAGTCACAAAAACAGATAAAACAGACACCCTTCGTTGTGTTTATGCTTCTTTTTAAAATTATATTAAATTAAAATAACTATAAATAAAATTACATCTACGTATGTACGTTTCATTTCAAAGACGGGAGGACAGTAAATTTTGAAGACTCTGCCATAATCCCGTTTTCCTCGGTTTTCCTCTGCTTTAATCTACACAACCGGAAATGGACGAGCATCCTTGCGTCAAATGCGGAACGTATGCGTGCATATAGCCCATTGGCCAGGTCTCTCTTGTAAAAAAGATTCTGAATCTCCATGGGACCTCCTGGTTAAATAAAGGTATAATAAAAAAATACTGTGGCTTAGTGATGTGGATTTATTTATTTATTTATTTATTGTTGTTAATTACAATGTGTGATTGTGTTTCTATGAGGCTGGACTGTGATACAAAGTTTATTTGTGACCTGTGGTTGCATTGTTTAGCACATGGGATAATTGTTAGAGAGAGAGGGCATGGGTAGTGAGAATCATGCAGAAAACTTTCTGAAAAAAAAAAAAAAAAAACACATCTGAAATTCATTGCAAACTCTGAATTGGAACATGGTCTGCCTACGTGATCTCAAATTAAATACTATCTCAGCCTCTCAGCTCTCCCAGCAATCTTATCATTTGCATTTGGTAAGGAAATGAGACCAAAGTTTTTTGTGTTTCCCAGATGTCAACAGGAAACGTGGAAGAACTTATGAAGAAAGAAATGTTTGCTATGGTCCTTGGCTAAATACCAAGGACCAAACATTTCTTTCATCACTTACCATCACTGCTGTGCTGCCACGTTTCCTGTTGAAAAATTATAGACATATATATAATTTTTTCAGAGTTTGAAATGATCTGCCTGATAGCATTTACACCTATTTTTTTTGTACATTTATAATCTGAAATTCTGAACATATTGACAGCATTTAAAATGTAAAGCTTTAGATACTTTATATGAACTCCACCTATATTTGCTCACATTTAAGATGCCAGTATTTCATTGTACAAAAATGAATTGTTGTAAGGATCCACTGGAAGCAAGTTGTAGTAAGAACCCAAGTGCAATATTTATTCAAAAAACAACACATAACAAGAGCAAAATAAAAGCATGACGTGGCATGAAACAAAACTGTGGACAAAGACTTACAACAACAGAGGATCGAAACACTACTTGACCAAGACACATGGCAAACATGAGGGTTTAAAAACTGTACACAAGACTAATGACAATTATCCAATGACAAGACACATTACAAACAGGGAATCACACTACAGACATGGAACATGACATGAACATAACCAAAACGTGACAGAGACGAGACCAAATCATGACACATGTGGATATGATTAAGGATTTTAACTTATTTTAGAAAGTATTTCGTCTGATCACATATTCAAAGTCGTTAAATCACATGTTAAATGGCAATTTCTCTCTCTCTCTCTCTCTCTCTCTCTCTCTCTCTCTCTTCTCTCTCTCTCTCTCTCTCTCTCTCTCTCTCTCTCTCTCTCTCTCTCTCTCTCTCACACACACAAACACAGATGTATATTTGGCTGTCAAAACCTGGAATATTTAAGGTCATGTCACTTTTCCTCAAAACCCATTGGCCCCTCACGACACAGAGCATTTTCTGTTCTCCCTCCTGTGTTGAAATCTGGGGTTTATTGGATTTGTTAAGTCCAGAATATGCCCATCATTGCTCTTGCTAAACAGTGTATGATGACAGTTCTGCATTTGAGGATTAATCACATGGCTGATATTTACTCATAAAGAGGGAGTGACAATGTGATGAGACAGATTTACATAAAAACAATGACAGGAAACATGGTGGCGTGTTTCTCTCTCTGATTCTCTGACAGCTTGATGAACATGCGAGTTCATTTGCACACATTGTCATGTTTTTGAAGGAGGTATCGGGAGAATACATGTGTGTGTTGTGTGAAGTGTTTACTGACTGTTATCTTCTTACATAATTGATATGAAGAGCTGGAACTGCTTCCTCTGTACTGATACAGTTTTGACTCAGATACAAACACCAGAACCCAACATATTTTGATCAGAATATGTTCTTCCTGGCTTCTGTTACTGAGCAATTCCACCTCAAAAATTCCCATTTTTGTTTTGTATGAGCAGAGGATCTTTGTGAGAACACAGATGTCTGAAATTTAAAACTGAAATTTAACAAAAATAGACAGGGTTGTGTCATTTTATTTTATATAGCCTATATTTTATATAGCCTTTTCATTACTATTTGTTTATTTTCTTGACTAAACTATTTACTTTTACTTCTCACTTTATCTTATATTTACTATTTGCATTGTGAAGTGTAATAATATCTTATTATCACAGATAAAGGATCCATCAGTTATCTTTGTTATTGCTAAAATCGGGTCAATCACAGAAAATGCTTTTTCTACAATAAGAAAACTATTGCAGCAACGTTCCAAAGCAGCCAATCGGCTATCTATGTATTTATTATGTCAATGATTTTGCGCTCTGCACTTTCTTTTCTCTTGAGGCATTGACAACACAGCTGACACAGGTAAATACATGTGTGAGAGTTCAGTCCGACTTTTTGGGACTTTAGCTTATTCACCATATCCCCCAGAGTTAGATAAGTCCATACATACCTTTTTCATCTCCGTGGGTGCTGTAACTCTTTCTGACACGCCCACCGCTAGCCTAGCTTAGCACAAAGACTGGATGTAAATGGATACAGCTAGCATACTAATCCCAAATAAGTGACAAAATAACGCAAACATTTTCCTATTTACATGTTGTGATTTGTATAGTCACAGAGTGTACAATTAACATGGTCATATGAGACACAGCCATCTTTTAACCGTAAAAAATATTGGGAATTATATTCTCAGAGGGCAAAGCACTGCTACTTGGGGGGAGTGATTACCGCAGCACCTCAGATGCACCGTGGTGAGGAGGAGAGAGTTTGTTCAGAGTTGGAGTAATAGAGTCAGCAATTACTAAATAGTAAAAGCATAGTTTACAATCATGGGTGTCCGTTGTATTGTAAAGAGCTGTGACAATAAACAGGGGAGACCAGGTAATACCATGATGTTTCATAGACACGGACACCTATATACTGGCATGGAGACCAGGACGGAGACCAGCACGGAAGAAGAAGGCGGTAATCGATGAACTTTCACAAATTTTAATAAATAAATAAACACAAAATGAAAGTAAAGGCGGCAGCCCCTCACGAACGACTGAAATTCAGGCCTGGTCCTCTCTCGTCCTTTACTGTCATCACTCCTCCTTTTATGCTTCAGTAGCTCCTCCGTGAGATACGAGGCTGGTACGGCTCGCAGGTGACGGACGTTAGTAATTGTACCGCTCTCTCTCGGCCCTCGCCTCGTCCTGCTTGCCACAAGAACAGACAATCTGCATTAATGGACATAATATTAGGTAATAGTTGGCTACAGCAGATTAGCACAACTATTTCAGGAAGACAGTTATAACGCGAGTTAGCCAGTTAGCCAGAAACTTACACAATATTAAATACAAAACTGCATATTTTGAACACCTGGTAGACGATATACGTCAATTATTAATCATTCCTACAGGGTGTGATTCT